TCCCTGTGAGGCCACGAAACGTGTGAGGGGTGTGCCGAAATGGGCGTGGGGGGCGCAGGCGGGCGGTGGCACTAGGGGCTTCGGTGGAGATCCATATGGGGCCACGAAACGTGTGAGGGGTGTGCCGAAATGTGTGTGTAGGGGGGGGGGCGCATGCGGGCGGTGGCACTGGGGCCTTCGGTGGAGCTCCCTGTGGGGCCACGAGACGTATGAAGGGTGTGCCGAAATGGGTGTGGGGGACGCATCCGACCGGTGGCAGGGGCCTTCGGTGGGACTCCCTATGAGGCCACGAAACGTGTGAGGGGTGTGCCGAACTGGGTGTGGGGGGCGCATGCGGGCGTTGGCACTGGGGCTTTCGGTGGAACGCCCTATGGGGCCAGGAAACGTGTGAGGGGTGTGCCGAAATTCGTGTGGGGGACGCATGCGGGCGGTGGCACTGGGGCCTTCGGTGGAGCTCGCTATGGGGCCACGAAACGTGTGAAGGGTGTGCCGAAATGTGTGTGGGGGACGCATGCGGGCGGTGGCATTGGGGCCTTCGGTGGAGCTCCCTATGGGGCCACGAAACGTGTGAGGAATGTGCCGAAATGGGTGTGGGGGACGCATGCGGGCGGTGGCACTGGGGCCGTCGGTGGAGCTCCCTATGGGGCCACGAAACGTGTGAGGGGTGTGCCGACATGGGTGATGATGCTGGTGATGATGACGGTCGTAATGATGATGACGATGACGATGACGATGATGATGACGCTGATAGTGAAGATGATGACAATGATGACAATGATGATGATGATGATGATGATGATGATGATGATGATGATGATGATGATGATGATGATGATGATGATGATGATGATGATGATGATGATGATGATGACGGGAGGAGAGAGGAAGGGGGAGGAGGAGAGGAGGAGAGGAACGCGGGGCGACGTCTCTTCAAAACGAAGCCCCAACACCACAGGATGGTTTGGGAAAAAACTGGAAACACAAAAAAACATGTGTTTTCAATGTTTAGGTATTTACACATTGATTTCCATTGTGCGGCCATCAAATAGAATCCCAGTGCGCCTGGTTTAGTGGAGGAGAGGAGGCATGGCCGACGAATGAGACAACAAAAAAATGTGAGACCAAAAACGCTGTGTCTGCATGTGTAAAATGGTTTATATTTGAAAACGAAGAACACCAAACATACAATATGGAAGCAAGGAAAAATGTATGTTCACAATGCTTGGGTATTCACAAATTGATGCCCATTGCGAGGCCACCAAACAGAATTCCTTAATAGGACTCAGCGTGTAGGGTTTATTTCAAAATTGTCCTGGCGAAGAACCCAACCATATGCACTTGTGGGTACCGCAATTGTGAAAATCTTTTTCGGTGAAACTCCCTATGGGGCCACGAAGCGCTACACTGGGTGGGGGGGAACGCTGTTCTGGGTGAGTGGTGTGTCAAGTAAGGCTTCCGAGACGCATGCGGCCGGTCCCACTGGGGGCTTCGGTGGAGTTCCCTATGGGGCCACGAAAATGTCAATTTGGGCTTCCGGGGCGCATGCAGACGGTCCCACTGGAGGCTTCGGTGACTCCCTATGGGGCCACGAAACGTTGTACTGGGTGAGTGAAAATGCCAAATTGGGCTTCCGGGACGCATACGGACGGTCCCACTGGGGGCTTCGGTGGAGCTCACTAAGGGGCCACGAAACGCTGTATTGGGTGCGTAAAAATGCCACGTTGGGTTTTCGGGACGCATGCGGACGGTGGCACAGGGGCCTTCGGTGGAGTTCCCTACGAGCCCACGAAATTCTGGACTGGGTGGGTGAAAATGCCACAACGGGTGTTTCGGGACGCTTGCGGACGGTCCCACTGGGGCCTTCGGTGGAGCTCCCTGTGGGGCCACGAAACGCTGCACTGGGTGGGTGAAAATTCCACATTGGGTGTGCGGGACGCATGCGGACGGTGGCACTGGGGCCTTCGGTGGAGCTCCCTATGAGGCCACGAAGCGGTGTAATGGGTGGGTGAAAATGCCAAATTGGATGTTTCAGGACGCACTCGGACGGTCCCACTGGGGGTTCGGGGGCCTGCGGTGGAGCTCCCTATGGGGCCACAAAACACTGTACTGAGTAGGGGGGACGCATGTGGACGGTAGCACTGTGACCTCCGGTGGGGCTCCCCATGGGGCCACAAAGCGCTGTACTGAGTGGGGGGGACGCATGTGGACGGTGGCACTGGGGCCTTCGGTGGGGCTTCCTGGCCACGAAACATTGTACTGAGAGGGGGGGAACGCATGTGGACGGTGGTACTCGGGCCTTCGGTGGAGCTCCGTATGGGGCGACGAAACGCTGTACTAAGTGGGGGGGACGCGTGTGGACGGTGGCACTGGGGCCTTCGGTGGAGCTCCATGGGGCCACGAAACGCTGTACTGAGTGGGGGGGACGCATGTGGACGGTGGCACTGGGGCCTTCGGTGGAACCACGAAGCGCTGTACTGAGTGGGGGCGCATGTGGACGGTGGCACTGGGGCCTTCGGTGGAGCTCCCTATGGGGCCACGAAACGCTGTACTGAGTGGGGGGGACGCATGTGGACGGTGGCACTGGGGCCTTCGGTGGAGCTCCCTATGGGGCCACGAAACGCTGTACTGAGTGGGGGGGACGCATGTGGACGGTGGCATGTGGACGGTGGGGGGCCTTCGGTGGAGCTCCCTATGGGGCCACGAAACGCTGTACTGAGTGGGGGGGGCGCATGTGGACGGTGGCACTGGGGCCTTCGGTGGAGCTCCCTATGGGGCCACGAACGCTGTACTGAGTGGGGGGGACGCATGTGGACGGTGGCACTGGGCCTTCGGTGGAGCTCCCTATGGGGCCACGAAGCGCTGTACTGAGTGGGGGGACGCATGTGGACGGTGGCACTGGGGCCTTCGGTGGAGCTCCCTATGGGGCCACGAAACGCTGTACTGAGTGGGGGGGACGCATGTGGACGGTGGCACTGGGGCCTTCGGTGGAGCTCCCTATGGGGCCACGAAACGCTGTACTGAGTGGGGGGACGCATGTGGACGGTGGCACTGGGGCCTTCGGTGGAGCTCCCTATGGGGCCACGAAACGCTTGTACTGAGTGGGGGGGCATGTGGACGGTGGCACTGGGGCCTTCGGTGGAGCTCCCTATGGGGCCACGAAACGCTGTACTGAGTGGGGGGGACGCATGTGGACGGTGGCACTGGGGTGGCACTGGGGCCTTCGGTGGAGCTCCCTATGGGGCCACAACGCTGTACTGAGTGGGGGGTCGCATGTAGACGGTGGCACTGGGGCCTTCGGCGGAGCCCCCTATGGGGCCACGAAACGCTGTACTGAGTGGGGTGACGCATGTGGACGGTGGCACTGGGGCCTTCGGTGAAGCTCCCGATGGGGCCACGAAACGCCGCACTGAGTGGGGGGACGCATGTGGACGGTGGCAGTGGTGCCTTCGGTGGAGCTCCGTATGGGGCGACGAAACGCTGTACTGAGTGGGGGGGACGCGTGTGGACGGTGGCATTGGGGTCTTCGGTGGAGCTCCCTATGGGGCCACGAAACGCTGTACTGAGTGGGGGGACGCATGTGGACGGTGGCACTGGGGCCTTCGGTGGAGTTCCCTATGAGGCTACGAAAAAATGGCACTGGGTGAGTGAAACGCAGGAAAGAGGGGGAGGAGGGAGGAGGGGGATGAGCAGAAAAGGAGGAGAGGAGGAGGAGGAACGCGGGGCGACGTCTCTTCAAAACGAGGACCCAACACCACAGGATGGTTGGGAGCCAAAAAAATATGTTTGACGGCCGTACAAGCGGAATAAATGTGTACATGTTTGTGTGGTGCTCTACACATTGATTCCGATTAGAAAATTATGCCTGGTGGCCTCGCAATGGGAATCAATTTGTGAATCCCCAAACATTGTGAAAATACAGATCCCCCTTGCTTCCAGATTGTCATGGTGGTGCTTTGTTGTTTGACACAGTGGAAGAACAAAAAAGGAATATATATATATATATATATGTATATGTATATGTATGTGTATATTTTAAATTAGTTTTATTTTCTTTCAACAAAATATATAAAGAAGAATTGTTGTACCAAAAAAATGTTATATAATAAATAATGATCTATATTTTTTAATATATATATATATATATATATATATATATATATATACATATATATGTGTGTGTGCGTGCAACACACAAAAAAAAAACAACAACAACAACAACAACAACAACAACAACAAAAACGTTTATTATATCCCAGATTGTTGTTTGTCTTGTTTGTATCGTTTGCCCGGGTCGTCGGCCAGGCCCCCCCTCTCCCCCCGGGCCAGGCGCAGAGGGATTCCATTTGAAAGCCGCAAAGGGGGAATCAATTTGTAAATGCCCAAACACTATGAAAATACAGGTTCCCGTTAATTAGTTCCAGATGTTTTGTTTTTTTTTGTGTTTTGGGGGGCTACAATTTGAACAACAAATTTACCATCAAAAACGCAACTTTTTACGTACCCCTAATTGTCTTTCCTGTCTGTGTTGTTGTTTTCGTCGGCCAGCCCCCCACCACTTTTCCCCCCGAGCCAGGCGCAAAGTGCTTCAATTTGAAGGCCGCACAATAAGAACCAACATGCAAAATCTGCACAAAAGGATTTCGCTTGTTTCCCACAGAATGGGAACCATATTGTAGTGCCCCACCAAGGGGGTCAATTGGATAGCCGCCCCATAAGTTGTAATCAATGCGAAACTCTGCACAAACGAATTGCACATGTATCCTACACTATGAGAATCAGTTTGGAAGTCTGCACACAGGGATTCCCATTGTCCTTTCAACACACGAGCCATCAATTTGCAAAATCTCTGAAACGAGATTATGTTTAAAGCAGCGCAATGGTGATCAGCTTGCGAACCCCGGACACAAGGATTATGCTTGCATGCCGCAGAATACTCCCATCCATTGGCCAGTTCCCATGAAGAATGTCCAAGTGTGGGACGCGATGGATTCCTCGGTGACTCACTGTTATCTGGGCAAGGCAGCGTCGCCGAGAGCGCGCGACGAGCAACAGCCACTGAGGATGCTACGCAAGGGATCTCGGGTGCTCTTGAGGGCCCTTCTTAGAAGGAGCCACAACAATGTCGAAGGTCTAGAAGGTTCAAGGCATATGGCTCCTAGAACGATCATGGCGGCTCACAAGGATTGTAGAATGCTCTTGACGCAGCCAATGAGAACACTACGTGAAGATGCGACGCAACAGTCAGTGAGAACACTACGTGAAGATGAGATGCAACGCCCAGATATTCACAGCAAAGCCCTGAACATGTCGCCTGTCCTCGCGCAGAGATCAGAGCCCATGTACCAGCACTGCCACTGCGCAGCGCGCACTCTGGCGTCGTACTTTCTGATGCCTGAAAGGGTGGGGGGGGCGCTTTTCACAGTGTTTGGGCTTTTGCAAGTTGATTCCCACTACGAGGCCACCAAACAGAATTCCTTAAGAAGAATCAATGTGTAGAGCCCCACAAAAGCATTTACACATTGATTCCGGTTGTGCGACCATCAAACAGAATCCCTTTGTGGAACTCTACAAAATAAATACCTATGAAGGAATTATGTTCGGTAGCCTCGCAAATGTAATCAATTTGTAAATGCCCAAACACTGTGAAAATACAGATTTTCCTTGCTTCCAGATTGTCTATTTGGTTTGTTTTTGGTTTACAAATAACAACCATTTACACCTAAAAAACACAACGTTTTTGGTCCCACAGATTGTCTGTTTTGTCTTTTTCGTCGGCCAGGCCCCCCCTCCCCCCGAGCCAGGCGCAGTGGGAGGTGATGGCCGCGCAGCTGAAATCAGGTTGTAAATGCCTAAACACTGTGAAAACATGTTCCTTGTGCTTCCAGATTGTTGTTTGTGTGTGTTTGGGTTTGCATTTAAAAACAATGTTGCACTTAAAACAAAAAAACAAAAAAAAAAAAAAAAAAAAAAAAAAAAAAAAAAAAAAAAAAAAAAAAAAAAAAAAAAAAAAAAAAAAAAAACGTTTTTGGTCCCCCAGATTGTCTGTGTTTGTGCTTTTGTTCGGTCTTATTCGTCGGCCAGGCCCCCCCTCTCCCCGAGCCAAGCGCAAATGATTATATTTGACGGCCGCACAATAGGAATCAATGTGTACGTCTGTATAAAAAATGATATCAAGTGCGTTCCACACAACAGGAATCAATGTGTGTTGCCCCACAGTAGAATTTCATTTGAAGAGCGCGCAATAGGAATCAATGTGTAAGTCTGTACAAGGGATACTGTGCAAGAGGTTATGTTGTAAGCAAGCGCATCACGTTCACATTTCGCTTAAGCAAAAAACAGGACAGGTTGATCACAGGAGGGGCTATTACCATATACATATATATATATATCTACAAATGTATGTACTAAAACTATCGCGAGCGCTTGCGCGCGCGCTCAGGTTCTCGCAGGCCCCAGGCCTTGACGAATTCATTGCTCCACTGAAGTAGTGGACCAGTCCACGCATGCCAATCTGCATTCCGAAAGGCCTTCGAGGAAAATGGTTGTGTAGGGGAGCGGAGGCCGTATGAATCGGGTTCCCAGAAGACCCTCTGCGAGAATGGGTTTGGGGCGTCTTGGGGAGCCTGTTGGGGCGTGCCGTCGTCGTCGTCGTCGTCGTCGTCGTAATGTCGTCGTCGCCTATTGGGGCGCGTCGTCGTCGTCGTCTTCGTCGTTTCGTCGTCGTCGTCGATTCAAGAGGGCACTTGGGGCAACTTTGTTGAAACGATCTGCGGAGGGCCGCGAGAAGGCGATCAGTCATGTTCCCAATCAACTTCCCAGACAGCTCTCCCGTAGCATGATGGTACTTCGAAGCCTCCGGAGACTCGCGGGCCCTTGATGAACCATGTCCCCGGAAGGCTTTCTGGGGACATGGTTTGTTGGGGTGTGTTGGGGGGTCTCTTGGGCGTTCCCTGGGAGCCCCTTGGGGGCCTCCGGGAACTCTCGGGCCCATGATGAAACATGTCCCCGGAAGGTTTTCTGGGGACATGATTTCTTGGGGTGTGTTGGGGGGCCTCGAGAACGCCTAAATTCTTCAAAAACCATCGGAAAATTAGTGAATCTTGCCTCCCAGGGCCCTCTTGGGGAGCCTCTTGAGTCCGTCCTGGAGCGTGTTCGAATCCTCGTCGGCCGTCTTGATGGCAGCTTGGGCGTCTTTGGGGCCTCTTGGGACCGTCTAGGGCCCTCTCGGGACCTCCGTTAGCCTGTCGTGGCCTGCTTCGGGGCGGGCCCGGGCCGCCTCGGGACCCCTCTGGGCCTTCTCTTGGCGAGCTCTTGGGGCACACTTGGGTTGTCTGGGAAGCATCCTGACCCGTCTTGGGGCCCTCTTCGGGGCCTCGTGGGCCTTCTTGGAGCGATCTGAAAGGCCTCCGAGGCCGTGAGGGAGCGCTGGAAAGCGGGAAAAGCGAGAACGCCAAAATCCAAAAAACTCGGAGAACGAGTGAATCTTGCCTTCAAGGGCCCTCTTGGGGAGCCTCTTGAGTCCGTCCTAGAGAGTGTTGAAGTCCTCGTCGGCTGTCTTGAGGGCATCTTGGGCGTCTTCGGGGCCTCGTGGGACCGTCTTGGGTCCTCTCGGCACCCCCTTAGCCTGTCATGGCCTGCTTCGGGGCGGGCTCGGGCCGCCTCGGGAGCTCTGGACCCCCCCCCCCGCAACCCCTGGTGGGCACCGATGGGGAGGAACAGGCAGCGGCCCCCCCCCCGGGCCTACTCCGAGATAAAGAATCATGTTCCAGGGAAGCTTTCCGGGAGCATGATTTGTTCGGCTCTCTAGGGGGGGCCTCTGGGGGCTTAACGAGGGGCGTCTTTTGGCCTTGTCGACAAGCCTATTGGAAACATGGTTGGGGCGGTGGGCGGAAGCCCAAGGAATCATGTTCCCAGAAAGCTATCTGGGAAATACGATTTACCGAAGTGTATTGGGGGCCCGCAGGGGGCTTCCCTGGGGGTCCCTCGGGGGCCTATTGGGGCTTCCGGGGGGCCTCTTGGGAGCCTCACGGGGCTTCTTGGGAGCCTCTTGATGGCCTCTGGGGGCGTCCTAGGAGCCTCTCAGGCCGGAGAGCTCGAAATGTCGCGCTCTTCGGGCCCCCTTGGGTCCCTCTTGGGGCTCTCTCGGGGCGCTCTCGAGGCCCTCTTGACTTATCTGGGGAGCCTCCTGGGCCGTCTCTGGGCTTTCTTGGGAGCCTCTTCGGCCGTCTTGGAGCGATCTGAAGGGCCTCTGACGCGGTCCAGGACCGTGGGGAGGCGGAACATGGGAGAGCGCAAGAAAGCTTCAAAAACCAGTGGAAAATGTATGATGTCCGGCTTCTGGGGCCCTTTGGAGGGCCTCTGGAGGCGCTCTTGGGGCGTTTTGGCGCCGTCGTCGGCCGTCCTGAGGCCATCTTCGGCGTGTCCGGGGCCTCTGGGGGCTGTCTTTGGGCGTCCTTGGAACCCGGAAATCATGTTCCCACAGAGGCTTCCGGGAACATGATTTCGAACGAGGCTCTCTTGGGCCTCCCTGAGGCCGTCTTGGGGGCCTCCTGGGCTGGCTTTGGGGGCTCTTGGGCCCTCTCGGGGGGTTCCGTGAGCCCCACAGGACGACCCTTTTGGGCCGTCTTGGGCCCTCTTGGGTCTCTCTTGGACTGTCTTGGGGCTCCTCGGGGGCGTCTGGGGCTCTGCGAAGACGAAACACGGGAGTATGCTGAAAATGTACGTTTTACGAAGGGAATGGGCAGATTTGTGCCTCTTGAAGGCCCTCTTGGGGCCCTCTTCGGCCATCTTGAAGCAATCTCGGGCACTCCTTGGCCTTTCTGAGGCTGTCTTGTGGGCCTCTTGGGCGTTCTGGGAACCCAGAAATCATGTTCCCGCAGAGGCTTCCAGGAACATGATGTCGAACGAAGCCCTCTTGGTCCTCCCTGAGGCCGCCTTGGGGGCCTCATGGGCCAGCTTCGGGGCCTCTTGGGACGTCTTGGGGGGGTCCGACAGCCCCTGGGCTGTCTTGGGCCCTCTTGGGTCTCTCTTGCGCTGTCTCGGGGCTCCTCGGGGGCGTCTGGAGCAATCTGAAGACGAAGCAAGCGAGTATGCTGAAAATGTACGTTTTACGCGAGGAATGGGGCGATGATTGCCTCTTGAAGGCCCTCTTGGGGCCCTCTTCGACCATCTTCAAGCCATCTCGAGCCCTCTAGGGCCTCGCTGAGGCTGTCTTGGGCGTCCTGGGAGCCCAGTAAGTCATGTTCCAGGAGAGGCTTCGGGGAACATGATGTCGAACGAGGCCCTCTTGGGCCTCCCTGAGGCCGTCTTGGGGGCCTCCTGGGCCGGCTTCGGGGCCTCTTGGGCCGTCTTGGGGGGTTCCGTGAGCCCCACGGGACGATTTTTTTGGGCCGTCTTGGGCCCTTTTGGGTCTCTATTGGGCTGTGTTGTGGCTCCTCGGGGGTGTCTGGGGCAATCTGAAGACGAAGCAAGCGAGTATGCTGAAGTTGTACGTTTTACGCGAGGAATGGGCCGATGTTTGCCTCTTGAAGGCCCTCTCGGGGCCCTCTTCGGCCATCTTCAAGCCATCTCGGGCCCTCTTGGGCCTCGCTGAGGCTGTCTTGCGGGCCTCGCTGAGGCTGTCTTGCGGGCCTCTTGGGCTTCCTCGGAACCCAGAAATCATGTTCCCGCAGAGGCTTCCGGGAACATGATTTCGAACGAGGCCCTCTTGGTTCTCCCTGACGCCGCCTTGGGGGCCTCCTGGGCCGGCTTGGGGGCTTCTTGGGCCGTCTCGGGGGGTTCCATGAGCCCCACATGCCGACCCTTTTGGGCCGTCTGGGGCCCTCTTGGGTCTCTCTTGGGCTGTGTTGGGGCTCCGCGGGGGCGTCTGGGGCACTGTGAAGACGAAGCCAGCGAGTATGCTGAAAATGTACGTTTACGAGGGGGATGGGCCGATTTTTGCCACTTGAAGGCCCCCTTGGGGCCCTCGTCGGCCATCTTCAAGCCATCTCGGGCCCTCCTGGGGCGCTCTTGGGCGTCTTCGGGGCCTCTTGAGGCTTTCTTGACCATCTGTACGGCCCGCGTGGCCTGTCGTGGGCAATTTGGAAGCGGCCCGGGGCAGTCCCGGGGGGTCTGTGGCCCCCCAAAGGTTCGGGGGGGCGCCCATGGGGGATGATGGCACCAGTTTTGGCCCCCCCCCGGCCTACTCCGATACATCGATATGTATATATGTATATATATGTGTGTATATATATACATATCATATCATAGAATAAATAAATATATATATATATATATATATATATATATATATATATATATTCCTATATTTTTATAAGCCCGGGCGGGGGGAAAACCCGTCACCCACCCCCCCACCCCTAAGCCGGACTCCCGGGATCTAGAGCTTTGGGACCC